TGTCATGAAAGGGGCTGTGACAGAACTGCCTGTTGGTGCTCCTGATCTTTGGGAAGGGTACAGACATGGAGCTGGGCGCCCGTGCTGACTGTCCTGGCCATTTGCAGAAACACCTGTTTTTCTCAGAATGTCACAATGCAGTGTTGCAGGGTTATCAGCCTCTCACCAAGCATCGTTCCAGGTGGTGATCGTGGAGCTGTTAGCCAAATGCATCTCCCTTTAGGAACACTTCTGGTTTTATTTTTCTTCCATTTATGTGGTCAAATTTGGTACTTCTAATGTCCCTACTTCTCCAGCAAATTTCTCAGGGTGGTATTTCCAGCTTTCTGGATTTTTAATGTGTCCTGGGGCATTTAGTGCTGTTCAATTTTTTTCCCCCCTTGACTTCCAAGGTGCTGGCATCTTCTGAATCTGGTAATTTTGAATTGCACAAAATACAGTTCTAATTCTGGTGCTGAAGAATCACTTAAATTTAGCAGCGCAAAAAAAAAAAAAATACAAATGAATTTCATTTTCCACTCCTGTTTCTCTTAAATATTTTCCTTGACTGAGTGACTTGTAATTACCTAAAATAATTGGCATTGGAAGTACTGCAGTAGTCGCTGCAAAAGCCACTTTGGAAATGATTACACCAGAAACGAGTCAAGTTGTGTAATCTCCTCCTCACTGTGACGTTGTGTGGGCAATGCTGGTGCATTCTCTGGGCTCTGCGTCTAGAGACATTTCCTTTGTGATGGTTTGTGCATGCCAGTGCACAAAGAAAACCTGCATGGGATTCTGTCCTGAAAATTAGGTCACCCTCTGAAATGAGCATGGAACTACTTAGGGCCTTACTTTTGACAAACCTTCGCTTGCAAATTATTTTCACTTAGCCGGTCTTCCTAAAAACAAACAAAAATAAGCCCCAACAAATAAGCAGAAAAGAAAAAAATAGAGAGAAAAAAAGGTTTTGGAATCTCAGAACTTCAGTGTCGTTAAGTAAAGTCAAGATCACAGGTTTGGTTTGGTAAGAGTGCTGGCCACACAACTTCTGGGAAACAATTTCTTCACTCCTCTACTATCCATATCCTCTTTTCACTCCCTTCTGGCATTGCAAGCATGCCAAGTTTGCCAAGAGGAGTTAATAGATAGAGACTCAACCCCGAAACTAAAGGGGGTGGCAGGAACCACCTTAACTTGATTCATAAGTACAGTGTTTTCAGTGTTGCTCTGTCAACAGCACTTGTCCTGTTTTTTTTTTTTTCTTTTTTAAGTTTATTCATGCTTTTTAGGATTGTTAAAAATGTTTGAAGACTTCATGATAGGTTTGTTTGTTTTTGTAGGTTTAAAAATTTTTTTGTTATTCTGGGTTATTTTATAAGAAATGGAGGTGTGTCTGGAGCTAGTGGAAGCAGTCCCGATTCAGGACAAAATCTGGAATGTTGTGTTCCACTTAAATTCAGTATCTTTTGGCTAGAAAATATGAGCATGTCAAAATCCGTAATTCTAAAGCCTCATGAAATGGACTAAATCTTTGTGGAAGGCAGAAAAATGTATTTCCCAACCCTGCAGAGAAAAAAAGTTGTTTCATTGGCATTTGCTGAAAAAAAAAATTATCTGACAGGGGTATTCCATGAATGTTTGTGGCAAAAAGTGTAGAGTGTAGAGCATCCTTGCTCATGCACATATAATTGCACAAATGTGTGCCTGCAGGTTTGAACCCTTTATCACAGATCTAAATAACTAATAGTTTAGCCTGTGTGTTTCACAAGTTTTGTGCAGCTCTGTTGATCCAACTGAAAAGTACAGCAGGAACAGCTTGAGAGGCATATGTGGGTTTATTCCCTCTCACTACCTCTGTTCTCATCAGGCATATTTCTACCAGTCAATTGGACTTTGGATGGTAGGGACGTCATTAAAATAAGAGAAAAATCAGTGAAAGAACCAAGCTTTTTTTTTTTTTTCCCTTCCAAATACTGCACTGAAAAATCTGCTGCTGCCGTAAAGTGATGAAATAAATACTACTCTGCACTGATGGGTTCTTTAAAACCATCAGAAGGCACGAAACACAATTATTTTTCTATCACAATTCATTTTCTCCAGATAAGCACATTTCACAACAGTGTGCAGTTCCCCCTGGAGCCCCCAGGCTGTGCTCCTGGTTTCAGTCACAAGTGCACGCATGGGCCGTGGGAGGGGATGACAACGTGGTCCAAGCGGTGTGTTTGAAAATACCTCGACATTGGCACAGCTCTGGGCCTTGCTGCAGGTTTTACCTTATGAATGTTGGTTTGAGGAGGGGCTGGGGTTTCCAGGGTTGTCTCCCAGGGTAGTGGGAGGGCTCTGCTGGGCTGTGCTAAGTTCAACACTGCTCGTGTGTGGCACCAACTGCACTTGTATGGCCATATTGTCCTGTCCCTGTGCCACTGCCTATGCCCCTGCCAGAGTTGCTTCCACAGCATGATTCCTCCAGGAGCACTATCCTGGCATTGTGGGCAAGCATCCCTGTTGTGGTTTAGGGACCTGTGCAGCAATAACTGCTTCTGCCCCCTCTCTCATTAAGATAGTTTGGACTCTGGCACAACCGGGGCCTTAAGCATGGTGAAAAATCTGCATTAACAGCCAGACCCATAGCTTGGTGTGGGGCTCCTGGAGAGTCACCTCTGGAAGGCAGGAGCAGTGTCCATGGGCTGAATATTTTTTTCAGCCTTGGGGCTCTCCAGAAGAGACCAACACTGCTGGGACATGTTGGAGATGACAGCATGCCCCCAGGTGAACAGGAATGCTGAGGTCACATGATTGTCGTTCTCTTCGTGTAAGTCTGTGCAACAGGGCTGAAAATGCATTTTTCGCATGTATTTTCTGTTTAAGTATGGGAGGCAGCATAAATAAACTTGCAATTTGGTCTCACCTCTGTGCAAAACTGAAAAATATCATCCAGTTAGGTGTTTTAAAGCACATTAATATTTAAATCCTACTCTAAGGATAGGCCAGTAGGGGAAGCTGGAAAAAGTTTACCATATTCTTATTATTTTTGCCTGTGGGCAAAAGTCCAACAAATCTTTCAAGAGAGAGATAATTACGTGAGGATGGTGCGGAGACGTGTGTTGTAGCACACGTGAATGCTGACCTGGCTGCTCCCAGCAGCCAGCAGGGCTGCTGTGATGCTCAGAATTACATTTCCTTCTGGGAGACTGCAGGAGAAAGAGCTGAGGGATTGGGGTGAAAGCAGGAGGGGCTTGCTCAATTACAAACCCTCAATTTTTACCTTGTTGATCGCTCAGGGAAACAAGGGATGCTGATGAGGGATTGGAGACCAGTTTGGAGTCTGAGCATATTCCTTCCCCCTCTGTGCCAGAGCTTGGCTATTGCAAAACACCTGATGGGAGGTGATGATGCAATTTGCAGTCAGATAAGGGTGTGCATATTTATGCAGGCTGTACGAGGTGGGAGAAGGAGCCCTTGTGCAGGAAATGTAATGTTATTTGAAGAAACATGCCTCATGACCACTCTAGTTGGCCTTTTCATTGCAGTTCTATTTTTAACATTCACTAAGGGATTCCATATGGATGGAGTTTTTTTCCTTAATTTTTTATTCCCCCCCCATTTTTTTTTTCTTTCTTTCTTTCTTGGAGGGGGCACAATGGTGGGAGAATGAGGCCTTGACAATGTTTGTGGTAGTTTCATGATCAAAGCTGAGAAATGGGCTGTGATGTCAGGGAGCTTCTAGCTAAGCTGCTGGGTAATATTGTCTGGCTATATGGAGAGATGTGAGGGAGAAAAAGGCAGATGCAAAAAAACAATAGGGTGCAAAAACTGTCTTTGTCTTGCCTTTAATGGGTACCTTTTTTTTTTTTTTTAATATTTGATTGTGGCTAAGCAATAAGCATGCCTACCTGTAACTCCAGAAACATATTTTGAATTCCTTAAATTGCAACAAAGGGGTATGTTTTATATGTAAAACTTGTGCGTGTGTATTTTTTTTGTGTGTGCATGCGCCTTTTATTTCATTCAAAAGAAAGGCCTGTGAGGACTAGAAAAAGAGGAGGATACTGTCTCTTTATGAATACTAATAAGGAAATCAAGGGGGACAATGGCACTTCAAGTTTCATCTTTCCATTTCCTAGAGGCGCAAACTCTGCAAGTTGTCACCTTGGTGTATTCAGTGCCTCTTGAAGCACTAGACTCCTCCAGAGAGAATGTCAGCCCCAGCCCTGGGCAGTTTTGACAAACAGAGTATATATTGATACATGATAAAGTATGCTAGAAATCACCCCAGCGCTAAAGGCTACTATAGTTTTAATATCATCATTTGAATTAACAAGCATTCTGTGGAGAAATAATGAGCTTTCATTATTCAGAACATCATCCTTACCCCGGGAACTCAGAAACCATTAGCTCTTGAGAACTTAATGAAAAGATGATAAAGAATGTTTTAGATAAAAGTTTGAACGGGTGCACTTGGTAACTAAGGTAAAATATTAATGTTTCTCCCAATGATGAATTGCTGTTGCTAAACTTGTGCTTGCTGAGGAGATGGAGGGGCACGTAGGTGCTCCTATGGGCAGTGGCTGGGATGGAGGGCTGTCACGCACTGCCAGCATGCCCTATGCTACTGCCTGCATCCTTTGTTGAAAGGAATGGGAGAAGAGAGTAAGTTGGATATTCAAATCTCCCCATCCTCCCCAGCAGCTATTTTCCTGCCATGGGACTGAAGCTAAAAACCTTTGCTGTTTCATTCTTGCTGGGATTCCCCCCCACTATTTTTTTTTTTTTTAAATTTATTTAACATGATAGGCAACGCAATACAGCCAAGAGGGAGTGGGAAGGGGTGTAAGGAACAAAATGACCCAGCGCAAAAAATCCAGTCCTGAAGCTGCCAACCTGAGGCTCATTTTGGGCAGATCTGAAGCGCTCAGGCCGAGCATGGTTGCCACTTGCTGAAATTCCATATGGGTGGCTTGCTACATGTCTGCAATAAAAACCCCCAGTGCAATAAACGAAGAAAAAAAAAATATATAAAAGTTTAAATTTTATTGGGTGTAAAGCTCTTAAAGAACTGCTGTTCACAAAGAGTATAAAGATTGCTGAGACTCGGTGTACGTACCCCTACTAAAACGCGTTAGTCCTGCTGTTTTCTTTCTTTAACTGTAGCAATTTGCTTTCTTGCTGTTCTATAATCCTTGCACTTACCAGCATGGAGGGCTCGCAGCCTGCTTCCACCTGTGGGCAGCTGGGAGAGGCTGTCTGTCCTTCCCAGGCAGGTGGAGAAGTGCTCAGAGACCCCCGAGGTTGGTATGGCTGTGGAAGGGTTTGTTCCCGCTAAAGAGCGTGGGGGCTGGGGGGGAGGAGAAGGAAAACAAATGGGAATAAACTATCACATAAACAGTCTTAAGTCACAGTGTTTGCTGCTAACAGATGCATTTAGGTAAATGCTGTTACCTCAAGAGGTGTTATCTTCTGGGGATCCTTATCATAATTTTGTTTTAAATCTGAACAGCTGTTGTTTAACTACCACAGACCACAATTTATCTACAGCTTGAGGCCATAAAGGTACCTTTATTACACTCTCTTTCTTTTTTTTTCTTCCATTTGATTTAATTTCAGTGTGTCTGACACCAAAATGCTATATACAATTTGCATATTACAATATGCACTATTGCAGATTCCATACACAGCTAAATGGGAAAATCAGAGCAGAATGGTAAATGGGGAAAGCTTGCAATGACAAATAAAAGAGGAAGATGAGCTCCCATGTTTCATTTACATGTAAAATATTCTGACAATTGTTGTTTCCCCAAGAACAAAGAGCTGGTTTTTCTAGGGTGACTGGTTTATGATGGCTGCAAGAAAAAAAAAAAGGATGTTTTTTTTGGCACCGGAACAGAAGCATGCTTATCTGAATTGAGCCCTGGGGCTTGCCATATATTTGGAATAAAACTTAAGTCTTACTTAAGAAACCAACAAATATGGAAGCATGAACCATAGAGTACTAAGACTGAAAATCACCTCTCTCTGGACAGAATACTGGAAGGGACTTAAGGGAAAGATAATTTTGTTCTGAGTCACCTGGTCTTTTGTAGTTGATCTTTGAAGTTTATTATGGGGAGGGGAGAAGTGTTGCAGATGTTGCATATTTTGTAGTGTACATGGGAAATCGTGGATTTGTAGGGGATTCTTCTAACCTGTACATCTCAGATGACCAAGGTGGTATCTTCCGGTCATGCCCAGTAATGTGTACCTGAATTTCTCACTGCCCTGCTGCAGAATAGGTGCATAGTTCTCTCTGTACTTCCCTTTCCCTTGAGGAGGCGGGAGGCCTCCAGAGTTGTCAGTCTGGCAGCTTTCACCAGCACAAAAACTATGGTAAGTCTCCCCAAATGTAAAGCTTTATGCAAGAATTTGACTTTGAAGAACTCTTAACACTTCACCCAAACCTCTAGAGTTCTGCTTTGCTAGTTCGTTTGGAATAAATAGTAATAACCTCTCAATTACATGTATAGTGGCTTAATGATGGAAAGGACATCTCGCCACTTTTGCTCCCGTTTCCTCCATCCTAGCTGTGAATGTGAAAGCTGTTTGTGTCTCTGAGAGTGAGTGGATGTTGTTGAACTGTTTTCCTAAATGCAGAATACATTAATCTGTTGACACTTACAAAAAAAAAAAATATACCAGAACTTAGCTTCTAATTGACCTTTCATATTCCAACATCCATCACATAACATGACTGTTTAGCTGGGCTTTTCAAGGACAGTGTGGAGAAAAAACACCTTGTAGGGGACCCCACTTGGGCTGGGGTCTATGTGACCTCTAAATAACTGTCCCTTGATGGCACTTGTGGATGCTATTGGTGATCAAACTTTGCTGTGATCCCATCTGCCAAAAATTTCTTTTTGCTTCTGAACTCTATCCTGGCTGATTTAATTTGTCAGTGGAAGTTTCCCCATTTGTGTCCTTTAGGTATTGTGCAGAGCTCAGTGCCTTCAAGTGAACAGTAGTGGGTTTTATTGAAGTACGTGCAGGTACGAACCGGCGGCTAATGTCTCTTGTATAATATTGCTCCTGAAAGAACAACTCCACAAAGAATACTGTCTAGAATTACAGGGCAAGAGCAAGTCAACAGTTAATTGGCTGTGCTGTAATTACTTCTAGATGCATAATGTGCAATACTTATAGGACTTGTAGAAGTGGCATACAAATTTCACAGTGGTCTCTTGGTACTTTATCGTGTGTGGAGGATTTTGGTAGTCTCTGTAGGTCTTGGGATTAATGGTACAGTTATAATTTATTCCTTCTCTGCTGTTTTAAATAGTGTGGGTTTTTTTTTTTTTTATTTTCCTCTTAAAAAAAATAAGTCTGTCTTTAATTGTCTCAAAGGCTAGACTGAAAAATAGGACAGATGCTGTTCAAAGGCTCTGTCATTCTTTTCTAGGATGGAAGTAATTCCACTTGCTTTCTGTTTGCTTGGAGTGGCTCACACTTCTGCCGGTGTGTGGCAACCGCATGTCATGTGCTGTGGTACCACAGCCCAGTGGGCTGCAGACCTTATAAAGACCTTACAAAGATGAATATGGAAAGTGAGACAGATGTAGTTTTTGAATCTCTGGAACCCGATTTTCCCCATCTTTAACCTCAGGGTTTATAAGATGTAATTTCACTGAGCATATGGAATGACTATTTTAGTAATATTGGGCAAAGATCTGAAATGGCCAAGAGCTTTGTGTGTGGGAATATGAATGAGATCTTTAGAAACAGGGCCAGGCAACAGTAAATTCTTGACCTGGCTATGTCTCATGGTTTCAACAGTCCCCAGAGCTGTGGCTCTTTGGACGTTATCCAAGCCTCTGAAGTCAACCATAATCTTTCCCACTGCAGCCGTGAAGAGGCTCTGCAATTTGGTGGCACAACAAGCACATTTCAGGGCTGCTGAAATCACACTTGAGAAGCCAGCTCGGAGGGACTTGTGTGCGTGTGAGGTTTGTATGTGCTTGGTTTGCTCATCTCAAGTGACGTGGATACAGAAGTTAAAGTGAAGCTTTATAACATTGACTTTGGAATCCCCAAAATGTCATTTGTATTTTACCTTATTAAATATGGAAATTGTGTCAAAGGTAAATGTCAAGGGGCTGTAAAATTACCCTTCTTATCTCCTGTACGTTTATCAGTTGATAAATGGAAAGAAGCTGCTGCCAAAATAACTGTGAATGAATAATTTATAAATGACTGATGCATCGTGTATGTTGTTTCAGGCAGAAAACAGTAGGATATCAATAATCAAAAGAAGTTGGATTAATTTAGCAGTATTTTGCTGTTAATATTTTTATCTAAATGCTGCAGTCTGGACCTTTGTTATGAGGTCCTTCTCTTTGTCACTAAGGACTGATCTACAGATCACTGAAATCAATAGAGTCAGCTGTTTGTTTCAGCAGGCTGTGAATCAAATTTATAATATGCATATATAGCTTTTTCCCTGCTTTTATAGTGCTCTGAATTTGAATTTATTTAATGCTACGTCTCTCAGCATGGAATTTAGTTCACATGTTTCTTTCCTACCCACTTTCCTGTGGGCTGAACGTCCTAGACAGGAAATTTGGAGAACTTGATGGAACAAGGATGGGTGAAAGGTGACTGCAAAAACAAATCCCATATCTTCTCCCATATTTCAGTTCCTTTGTTTTTATTCACACAGGGGAAACTGATTTCTTGAAACGTAGATTTCTATGCAAGGTAGACTTTTTTTCCCAGCATGTGTTTTTCTCATGCCTTCCCCTAAACAGAGAATATTTAGGAGATTTTCAGCACTGACCATTGTGAATAAGGTTAAGCACTGAAGAGGTGAACTAGATTCTTTCTTTCTGTTCTTTTCCATGTGATTTAAATATGGCCCATTTTGCCCATCACATGACAGAGCTGCCAGAGATTGCCTCAAGCTAGTTTATGGCTTTAACTAAAGGTCATCTCAGGGGGGAAAAAATCCCATGGAGCAGAGGGGAGGAGAAGAATGTATTTTAAAAAATACATTAAAATGGATTTTAAGCATTTGTTCTGAAGAATACAAGTGAAAAAGAGAAGCTGCCATTATATTGCAATGAGTCAGGAGAAGAAAAAATAAAACCACCACCAATAATAATAAAAACCTCTCTTCCTCTGCGTAGCACAGCGCCTCACAACAGAAGGGTGCACAAAGCAACTGCCTGAATTTTGTTCTACGGCTTTCTCTACCTGACCTAGATATCTGGCTAGCAGTTCACCACTGCAGAAAATGCCATAGTGCAAAACTCCTACCCCACTGGCTGCTAATAAGAGCAATTCTCACATCCACAGCTCTGCATCCCTCCTCACCATGTAATTGGTCTGACTCTCCCAGCTAGCTGCCTCTCCTCCTGTAGGCCCACACTGGGAAGAGAAATCCCAGACCTCCTGAAGGCTGAGGGGCTCCAAAACTGTGCTATGTTATCAACAGCTACATGGTTAGCTAACTGCTGTGACTAAATGGAGATTGGGAAGCACTGCAGGCAAGGGATGAAAAGTGATGCCCTCCCATAGCACAATGCTGATATGCAGAATTGGCCAAAACAACAAAACTTCACAGACAGTGCAGCAGAAGGCATTGGCTCTCTTGTTTGGGCATTTTATTACCTGGAGCTAAATGTGCAGAGAAGGGAGATAATGAAGTACTTGACTAATTCAGTGTGATCCAGCTGGCTAAGCCAGAGGGGCTGTAGGGCAGGAAAAGCTACAGAACTCACTGCTAGCCATTTTCCCTTGATACCTGTGAAGCCAAAACAAAGAAGTGCAGAGATCAAAAAGCAGAGCAATATCAATATCGGGAAAGGGGAGGGGGACAACAAAAGGGGAGGAGAAATATCTAAGATTGCCTCCCCATCCTTTCTCCCTTCTGTGCTTTATTTAGTAGTGGGGGGGAGGGGAAGGTTATTTTCATTTGCCTCATGCTAACTTCTAATCTATTTGAGAAATTCACCAACCACCCAAACGTTTAGTGCCCCGTGTGTCACAATACTCAATGCCAGCCTAATTTTTAAAATTTTATCTACCATTTGTGCTTGGGGGAAAAAAAAAAGACAGGTTTTGTAATGCAGGCATGTGCAATGGTAGTGCATTCAAAACTCCATATTCCTCCCTTTTTCCACAGCCTAAAAGGCTGGATAAACTATATGATTCTTATCCAGAGGGAAATTAGAAAATGTAAAGTGTGTAAATCCTTCTCCCTGGCTCCTAGGCACTGGTTGGTTTTTGCTGCTGCATGTGGGTGTTTTTTTTTCCTCCGACAACCCAGCTATTTAAGTACACAAGACACATTGCTCACTCTGTCCCTTCCCCTACCCTGACTTCTCCTCACTATCTGTCTATGAAGTACAATGTAATTCCAGCTGCCCTAACAAGCTGTTGCCCAAATTAGAGTGTAGCACTTGTAAAAAAGCTGGTAGCCAGTGAAAGGCAGTTACCACATTTTATTAAACATAGAAAGCCAAGCTTCCTACCTGGTGTAACGTAGGTGCAATGCCACAAAAGGAAATGGAGAAATGCCCACATCCAGCAGGGCTGAATTTAGCTCGTGGTGCTCTCATCATGGCTGCCAGGGAGTGAATCACTGCTGACCAGTCTATCTGCCAGCCACTGTTCATACCTTCTTTTTCTAATTTTTTTTTTTCAAATTTGAAGACAGGCAGACACTATGCATCATCCAGAGATGAGCATCACAAACACGCTTTGCAAGGAAGGCAACCACAGCAGACTGCCAATGCTCTTCCAGTGCCAATTAGAGTGATGGTTTAATCGTAAAAGCAGATTCACTAAAATAGGATCAGAGCCAAGGCGTTTGTGATTTGGAAGCTTGTGCTAACTTTTGATAGCTATCATCAGGGGCAGCTGATGTGACATCACCCTGCAATTCTGACTCATATTTTTAATGGACCACATGCCTTTGCATGATAATTTTGCTGCTAGAGTTAGCTTGGCATGAGCTCAAGAGACAGAAACACCAGCAACAAAATCTGAAGATGTGTTGAGAATTTGCAGTTGTCATGGAAATCTGGGGTAGTTGCTGGTGCTTACCTCCCCTCTAAAATGGAAGTCTACATTTGCTCCCTCCAGCCTGGAAGCTAAGGAAAAGAACTAGAGGTGGCTACTCTCTGACAGTGTGGATTTGAAGATACAGGAAGCTCCTTTTAGGATTATGTATATTTTTTTCAGAAATATTTTTTGCTGAAAAAATACTTTCAGCCCTGGAAAAAATCAACTTTTCTTGCACTGGCCCAGTTTTTTTTCCCCATAAGGTCATGATGTGACCATAATATGTCTGGAGAACACCTTGCAAAGGGCACTCTTGGGTGAAGGGGCAAATGTGAAGTGCTGGCTTGTGCTAAGCCTCTGCTGTTGTGGTGCAGTTGAGATTTCAGTGGAGCATTGGTCCTCTTTCGAATGGGAGCAGCCTGTGCTCTCCATGAGAGAACATGGGGGTTAAAAGATGGTGTGTGTTTTAACTCAACAATTCCACGTGATGCAGATTAGCAGGTGCTCATAAATAACTCATGAGTTCAGAGAGTCATTACAACCTGACCTGGCCACCTCCAGTATCAATACATCTACCAATAGCAGTGATGAAAATTATTAAGACAAAGCCTCTTAAGGCACTACTGGATTTAGTAGTGTGAGGAGAGCAGGAATGTACTTGTCCCTGGAGAAACAATAACCTAGAGCTATGTTGTGTTTAAGGAAAAAAAAGGGAATAAAACTTTGTGCTCCTGCTGAGGACCTGGGTGTGATGCTGGCTGAAGTATATATATGTGTGCATATACATGCCTTGCAGTTTCTCTCTGCTGGTGTTGTGTACTGTAGCTGACAAACTATAATCACTTCAAGACGACATATTTCAGATCAGTGCCTTACTGGCACAGAGCTGCCAACAAACTCTCTTCATATCTTCCCTGCTCTTAGAATGCTTGGCTTTTCAGCCTTCACATTATTAAGTCTAGAAACATGGTTGGAAGTTACTGCCATATTTTAAACCATACCTCTGATAATGTTAGTTTTTGGTGACGTGTTGAAGTAGGAAGTAGTTAGGCAGCATCGTGCAACATGCTATCAAGGTAGTGCCTGGCTTGGAGGTGGCAGGTGCAGGTAAGACCCTATGTAGCTGCCAAATTTGTGGGAATATTCAAGAGAAAAAGGTATGTGTGTGCTGTAAAGCTCAGTGTGCAATGTTAGACAACTTAAGCCTCAAATTAAGTCATAGCTTAAACCCTCTTTTGCAAATGGCAGGAGCACGTAGATTTTCTTGAGCGCATTAAGCATCCCATCTTTGCTGTTGGGATGACTTTATACTAAGGTATGGTATAAGCTTGAAACCAGCTTTTACCAGCTTTATTAAGGCTTTTTTTTTTTTTTTTTCTTTCCAGATGCAGTTTTGGCATAGGCTCTTACAATACAAATCACAAACTCAAGGCTGGTGAATGGTCTAGAGATTAAACCATATGAAGAGCAGCTGAGGGAGCAGGGTGCCTAAACTGGAGGAAAGGGAGGCCGAGGGAGGGACCTTATTGCTCTCTACAAATTTCTGAAAGGAGGTTGTAGCCAGATGGGGATCAGGCAACCAGTGACAAGATGACAGGACACAGACTCAGGCTGCAGCAGGGAAGGTTTAGGTTGGAGGTCAGGAAGAGCTTTTGCCCTGAAAGGGTGGCTAAACATTGGAATGAGCTGGTCATGGAGATGGTGGGGTCACCACTCCTGGAAGTGTTAAAGAATTAACTGGATGTGGCACTTAGTGCTGTGGTTTAGTTGGCATGGTGGTGATCAGCCAAAGGTCAGACTTGATGATCTTGGAGATCTTTTCCAACCTTAATGATTCTGTGATTTTAATAAGGATTAAAAGTCAGAACACAGTGGCTGGAGTTGGTTGACATTCAAGGGGTGGAGTTAAAGAGAGGGGTTGTGTTGCCAAACTTTCACCTGAACACAGCTTTCTTTAAGGTCCCTTGGAAGTTGGAAGCACAGTGGGTCCCAGCATATACAGCTTGCTGGAATTCTGTTTCAGAGCTGTGGCTCCCAGCTCCCTCTAAACATTGTCCATCTGCTCCACTGTTGCAGGAAAATGCACTAGGCTACTGCCAGAATGGAAATCTATTGAGGATGATGACATGTTTATTATAAGGAAACAAGTCTGGCTCCTGTTAGCCTTGCTTACTTTTCTAAGTAAGGCTTCTTTTCCCTCGGACAGTGCGAACCAGCACCACATTTTTGCTTGGCACCCAGGGAGGCAGTGGGGACGCCTGGAGGGAACTGCTGGCCACAGTGGCCATGTGTGCCTGGGTCACCTGAGGACTTGCAGGGGTCAGGCAGACATCAGTTGGATAAAATCTCTGTGCCCTGCCTTGTGCCTCTACATGTTACACTCATGTTTAAATAACTCACAGGTCAGTTGTTTTTCTATTTTGAGCGCATGGCAAACCAGGCGGAGGCAGCTTGTAAAACGAGTGACTAATTTCCAGAGTTTTTTTCCTTTTCACTCCCTCTGCAGCCTCTCTCCCTGAAGGTGGTCATGAGGCAACCTTACCCCGGCAAGAGGAGATCAGCAAGCTGGGAAAACAGAAAATCATCCTTCATGCCTGTGAAGACATGGTGGAAGCTGTATTTCTACATGAGTTGTGTTTTAGGGTTCTGGTATGTAGGGGGAAATTTTCCCCAGTACCCACAAGCTGGTGGAAACCTTCTGCATCTTTTGCAGAAGATTTCTGGAAGGGGGAGCTGGTGCTGTGGGTCCCAGTGTGGTGTCTCCCACGGCTCCCAGCGAGGAGAGGGACAGATCAGGGAGGGAGGGCAGTCAGTATGGCTGCATGCAGGATCTTTGCTCACTTTTTGTGCCAAAAAAACCCACAACCCTGCAGTTTTTTTTGCTGGTGGTGGCAGAGTGCCTGAGGGGCAGTGGGACATCCCTGCTTTGTCAGAAGGTTCCAGCTGTAGCTGCAGCTCTGCAGCAGAAGCGAAAAGGGAGAGAGCACTAGGGCCAATTCCTAGGAGCTTGTGCACTGGTTTAGACCTTTCCTCCCTTCACTGTAACCTCTGTCTTCCAGCCATGGCTGCCTGCTTGCACTAATTACTCCTCACTCCCTAGATGCATTCATTTCAAGCTACCTTTAGGGTTTAGAGTGCAGAAACCGACTGACCAAGGTTGAAGGCAATTAACAAACAGGTTATTCTAAATTAACAGCTTCTTTTAACCAGCTGTCCAGAACTGCTTTGTTTTTCTAAAGCACAATTAGCAAGGCAATGCACCTCAGTGAAAAGATGGATTGGGATTTCTTTTGTTATTGTTTGCTTTTTTTCTTTTTTCCTCTTTTAAACTTGTGCCAATTCAATACTAAGCACTTCCAGCTTGGATTTAAAAGGAGTGTTGAAATATACTGATTGCCTAAATGAATTGTAAATGGCATAGCATGTTGAGAAAGAGCAGTCCTTTTACTTCCATTGGCTATCTTGCATTACATCAAGATGGGTTTGCTTTTGAATGGCATATTGAGATGCCAATGCTTTCTTCAGGCATTGATTTTTATTTTTTTTTTTTCTGTCTTGCCTTCTCTCTTCACACAGATGCTTTGTGCATGATTGCGTACTGACTTCACTGTTTCATGAAGCAGTGGATTTGCAGACAGGAGCAGGCTCAGCCCATACCCTGAGCTCAGCCAGGAGCCATAAGGACAGTGCGAAGAAAAGCCCAGGCTCTTAAGCTTTGATTCCTGCAGGAGCTTGTTGCCTTGGCCTGGGTGCTCTAAAGACTTTTACTGCTTTCTCATCAGCAGAGAGTGTGAAGTGATTGAGCTGTTCCCAGAAATCTAGGAAGCACAAAGTGCTGTTAAGTCTTTAATACTGCCAGAAATCTTCACTTTTC